GGCTGGGGGGGCGGGGGGGTGGAGGGGGGGCGACAAAAAGTAGTTCTGCGGGGCGGAGGGAGGTGGCAACCGTTGGGTCAGGGTCCCACCCACAAACCCTCCATCGCCCCCCAGGGTCGGTGGATACGGGCAATCGGTACTGTGAGTCTACCACCCCCGACCCCGAGGACTGCGGATGTGAGGCTCCTTGAAATGACCGCCCCCTTGTCCTAGAAACTGTCATTCCTTAAGGGAATGTACTTGTTCTTATTTTCTGCCAAATGCTTATGACCGAGGTGCGCAAACTCAAGGCCCGGACATCGTCGTCCTCCTCTGAAGCAACTCGGAAGAGGTTTTGGCCTTGGCCACTCACCTGGGCACCTGCTGGGCTCATCCCCGGACAGAGCAGGAGCCGCCCACGTTCTGGCTGCCAGGGGAGGGCTGGAGGAGGATGGAGGGGTTTAGGCCTGGGGAGAGAGTTTGGGAACTGGAGCCAGGATTCTTGGTATATTGATTTTTTTTTTTAGGCTGCTGCTGCTTTGGCAAAATGAAATGTATTATTGCCAAATTGAGGAAGCATGGTGCCTTCCACGGAGACTTAACAAGCTTGCTGTGGTGGTGGTGGGGGGGGGATTGGAGAAAATAAAGTGCATTTACCCACTAAATAGCATTACATTTCTCCGTGAACAGTTCTTAAATTTTGCCCCGTTGTTTCTTATCTACTGATTGAGATAGCCATCTTGTTTTATGATCACATAATTCAATATTGTAGCAATATAAGTAGCACAATCTCTTTCTTTACTTCCGTCGGCAAACATCCAAAGTGCCTATTCCTTGATCCAACTGTCTTCAGATTTGTGAAGCTAAGCCTGTGTTTTGGGTAAGGGACTTATGCCTTTTTTATAGAAATCGAGCAAATCTAATAAATGTGGATAGGGAGAGGAAACAGTGACCTCAGCAAAGCTGTTGCTAAGTCAATCCGCAACAGTCCACGAAAGGATCATTATTATACCTTAGTAGATTCATGAGCTAAGACTGACGTTAGAAGAGGGTTAAAAAAAAAAAAAAAGATAAACAGAGACCAAAGATGACTCTTTATTGCCTTTTTTTTTTTAAGTTCAGGGCACAGCCAGCTAATTTTGTAATGTTTATTTTGGGAACGAATGGAAGCAGATAAGGGTTCCAAGCCTCTTTCCTAAGATCACACCAGGACACATTGCCACCTGCTGGTATACCTTGGCGTGACAGTTCTATCCTGAAAAATACATGGCATATTTTCTGAGAAGAGCTCCATCCATCTCCATACAATGACCAATGCAAACCTTTTCCCCAAACTTACATCTTTTTTAAACACACTAAGTGTCTATATGCCCTATTCAATTCTACCTGAAGTTATCAAAATAATCGCTCCAAATGATTCATCAAATCATGCATTTTAAAAATGAGCTGTTCTCTTCCCTTTAAAAACGTCCCAATACTCGAGCTTCAGGAATAAAACAAACTGGGAAAGTTTCCTAATTCACCTTCTCTTCCTTGCATACAAAACCTCTTGGCAGGCTGCTTTCAAGATCTTTCCAAACTTCAGCAGACCCAAAGTCCTAGCTGTGAGCAAAGAAGGCTTTTGCTGTGGGAAAGCTTCAGAAGATGGTAAGCAAAGGATTTAATTAAACCAGTTGTTATTCACTCTAGAACATGTTTTTTTTTTTTTTATTAAAAAGTTTATTTTTACATCATTTTTCACATTTTTTTTCATCTCAATTAGAACATGTCTTTAATGGTGAAAATCTCTATATTCACCCACAAATCTTAAATGGTATTAAAAAATAAATCCCTGGAAGTCTCAGTACAGCTACCAATAGCTCTAAAATGTTCTGAAGGTCCCATCTGTAAATCTATAAATGCCTCAGAAGAGTCACAACAATCTAAGTAGAACACACTCCCTAGGGTCTTTACCTGGAAAGATGGTAGTGGTGACCCTACACACTTTGAGATTTTCCAAAGGGATTTATTCTAAACCCCGGTCTCACCCATTTCTCAAAGCACTTATATGAGTACCTGCTGTGTGTCTAACATCGTTTTCTGGGCATTGGAATTACTTTTCTCAAGGCCTGGTCTTCACCAAGCCCAGACACTAAATCCTTTTCAAAACAACTGCTACCCTAGCAAAATGAGAATGAAAGTAATTTCTTCCTCTCTCTTTTGGCAAACTATTTCCACATGTAGCTTGTTGTTCCTCAAAGTAAATATTAGGAATGGCTAATGATAAGTAGCAGAGAAGAGGTATTCACTGATAAATAGAAATAGGGGATAACATTTCTGCAGGCCAAAAATGGTTTTTTGGTTGATTTGTTTTCTTGGCAAAACCCTAACAAAAATAGAAATGCAAAGTCTAGATTGATAAAAAGTTGTTTATTTTTATAAAATATCGTACAAATCTTGAAATATAAATCCTTCAGTGTTAGCAATTATTACATAGTAATCCAAATGCAAATGATACTTCATTTTGTCTTCCCTATCACCTATGAATTAGCCCTTCATTTACCTGTGATGTAAAAAGTCAGCATTTTAACTGCTGAGTCATCTTCATGTCACATTGTTCTGAGAGTTTCCTTCATATTTATTAACCACATAAAGAAATCTGAAATGAGGGATTCTCTTTCTCTTATCATGGTTCAGGTTTCTCAAAATTAAAAGCTCTGTGCATTCCCAGGAGAGGACCCCCAAACAGCCAGATCAGCAGTCCCTTCTCTTCCACTGCGCAAGGAGCAAAGAATTGGTACCAGATGAAGCCTATTCATTTGTCTGGTATGGAACAGGTTGCACTGTGCCAAAATCTGAGAGCCAGCTTTTTCTTTTGCTTTTTTTTAGCTCATGTGCCAAGCCACTCTTTTTTACTAAGCTTTTGCTAAAATCAGCATTCCTTAGCATCCTACTTTGACCACAATTTTGTTGGAAAGAAGCTAACCAGCCTTTTAGGGACACTTATCATAGGGAGAAGAGATAGAGCTGATGCTGTCAGACTATTTCCATGTCCAGCAAAACTTTTTAACCAAATGTCAGTCCCTTGAAGATCTACTGTTAAAATGCCTGAAAAATTGCTTTTCCCCCAGCAGTGCTGACTTTATGCGGTTCCAACCACTCCCTCGTGTCTGGCCGAAGACCACTCATTAGGTTAGTATTACCAGTGACCAGAGAATGGGCTGACACTTCCTACTGACCTTCAGCCTTGACTTCAATGGCCCCACACACTTGCCCACCCACTGAGCTAATCAGTCACCACTGGTCTGATTATCACCAAACCCACAACTAACAAATACATAAATATATAATACTTTGTTTTGTTTTTTTTTTTCATCAAAGCCCTACATGAAAATCAACAAAACTCCACACATCAAATGCCATATAATCTCTCTCTGAAATATGGGGTATCTCATTCATTCACAACAGGGTTGAAACTGAGGCAAAAAGTAAACAAGGGACTTGCCCAAACTATCGGACAAGTGAGTAGCAAAACTGGTAAAAAAGAACAACAGGAATTCTTGGTTCCTAACCCCTTGGTTGAACCTTCTTGCTCTTTTTAGGTTAAAATTTAAAAACTATCATATTAAGAAATACTTTTTTTCTTCCATGACCAGTCTTGTCCTACTACCTTGTCCACAGAGACCTTTTTCAGAGAAAAAGAAAAAAGTAAGACTTAGAAGAAATGTATTCAAAAACGAAAGGCAAAAAGTAGCCTCGTCACTCTGAGGCCAAAACCCACCATAGTCTTTGGTGCTGTTTTGCAGAATGTCTAGTAGAGCTGAAACCTGAACTACCATCTCAAGCACAGTGGAATCCACATGGTAAATCCCTATGGAATTTAGTCACAGCCTCTCATGCCTAGGGGATTAATGCACAAAAGCCCTGAGAACTGGCATCATTTTCCTGGTGAGGCAGAACCCAAACAGGACTCAGTAACTCTGCCCACACCTCATTCATCTTGCACCCAAACCCTAAACTGATAGGTTTTGTGCAGAATAGAATTAACATAGCAGGCCTGAACTACTATCCTTGGAAAGGGCTGCCCACAAGGTCGGCGTTGGGTGGCACCTGGAAACTTTGATTTGGGGAGGGCTTCCAACATTAGCTTATTGATAACTGGTTGGGAGCCTAAACTGTGCAAACAACACGATTTATGCTGAACACCCACTTTCCTTCTGGGAGTCAGGAATTTCGCTGTGTGCCAGCCAGAGACTGCCTACAGGACCAGCCCGGGATAAAAACCTTGGGCACTGAGTCTCTAATGAGCATTCTTGGTCAACCACATTTTACACATATTATCACAAATCATTGCTAGAGGGATGAAGCACATACTGTGTGACCTCACTGGGAGAGGACTCAAGAAAATCAGGCCTGGTTTCCCCTGGACTGTGCCCCAGGGGTCTTGTCCCTTTAATATTTCTTTGTATACTTCTGCTGGAATAAATCAGAGTCTGGGGTTAGTATTGGGGTCTCCCACCAATGCCACAGTTTTAGTATTGCTAGAATAAATCAGAGGCTTGACAGTATGGGGGTCTCCCACCAATGCCACAGTTTTACCCCTCTTCTTCTCTCATCCCCTTACCCCCTTCCCTTGGTTTAAGCAGATCCAAGTCCCCAAGCAAATGCTCAGAATGCCAAAGGCATGTATTTTCTTGAATGCTCCTTTCTCTAATAAATGGGATGAATTTGTTCAGATGGTCCCATGGAAAGAAGACTCTACTGAAGGCATCACTTTTTGAGACAATAAGGAAGAAATAGCGCCGATCTCAAGCCCCTTTCTAAACTACCTGAACATTAAGCCTCCCAGGGACAAGAAGACTCAGAAACACCAGACACTAGCAGGAATGCAGGAGTGCTCACTCATAGCTCTTATTCACCGCTACCACTGAGTAGTCTCACTTTCTGTATCTGTGCCCTGGAGAATTTAATAGCAATTTAATACTGGCACATGCTGTGCTCCAAGACTGACCAAACTGATCAAATACCTTTAGCCCCCCTAAGTCTATTACAAGGGTAATTCCAGAAGAGCTGCATTCCCAGCCTGGTCCCTCTAGCTGACTCAGCCCAATCCATTATCTGCGGCAAGTCTTGTCTAGTGCGTCTTGAGATGTCCATTATGTGTTAGTTGCCGCTCCTCACTCCGCCTGCTTCTCCAGGCATGGTATTTCTTGATGCTTTTCTTCCATGCAAAGCGCCAGATGCTAACCATGAAACACCAAGACACAGCATACATCGCTACTCCCCCGATCTTCACAAACCACTTGGGCTTAGGTGAGACCATTTCACAGAAAAGGAGGCGGGCACCCACGCCAATCCTCACTCCGGTGAACAGGGCCACAAAGAGGAAGTCCACCACATCTCCAGTGAAACTGTGGTAGCGCCCTGTTTCACGGAGAAACCAGCGCATCTGCAGCAAGGGGTTGGTAATCTCACTTCCAAAGAGGACCGCATTGACCTCTGTGCCTGACTCGCCCAGCACCAGGGCCATGATGATGCCCAGGATGCTAAGTGTGTGGTGAGCCAGCATCAGGGCCCCCTCGGACTGGAAGTAGATGCACCAGCTCAAGTCGAAGATGAAGTAGCCCAAGGTGAGACACAAAACGTGCACTTGGAGAGGTGTGTTGGGTGAACCTGAAATAAACCAAGACAAAAGCAGACTGAGTGACCAGGAGCCGAGCTTCTGGCCTGGGGATCCTGTGTTGTCTTTCACACCATTGTGAATCACTGAAAGCAAAATCAATGGCAGATACATGAGTCTTAATGATAACTCATTTGAGACTAAGATCTAAAATGTGGGTCTTTTTCAAACCAAGCAATGTTACAGGGCCCAGGAAATACCGCTCTGATTAATCAAATCTCAAAGACTGATTGGAGCAGCAGCAAGAGTCTCAGTGTCTTCTATGGCAGCATTAAAGTGAATTATTTTGTTCTTTCAATGACTATACTATCACAGTTTCTCCCTTTCTTTCTCTTTCCCAGCTCATGGTCTTGTTTCTACACTCTGTTTTTGCTTCCCTGAATGTCAGATTAATTTCTTGGCTTAGCAGCTTAGGTTATAGGGCCCTGGTTGGCCCTAGCCCATCTTGAATGCAGACTCTGGAAAGAAACCCAGAATTTAATGTGTTCCCATGACTAAGAAGATAAGGTACAGGGGCTTGACATGCTTGAATCAATATTTAGAACCTTCATATTAAACATAATGCTTAAGAGTTATATTTGTACTTCTTTGACAGTAGGGGGAAATGCTGAAGCTCCACATGGGAATCTAAGATTTTTTTTTTTTTTAAGAATATAAAGCAATTTTTAAAAATCACATTTTAGGGAACTTATGAACTGAATTCTATCCCCCAAATTCAAACTTCAAACTTCTCAGTACCCCAGAATGTGACTGTATTTGGAAGCAGGGCCACTAAAGAGATAATTAAGTTAAATCAAAGTATTTGGTGTGGGCCCTAGTCCAATATGACTGGTCAGTCTAACTTAAAGAAAAAGATTAGGACAATGACAGGCACAAAGGGAAGATTCTGTCAGGATATAGCAAGAAAGAAGCCACCTGCAAGCAAAGGAGCCATGCTTGAGAGGAAGCCAAACTGGCCGACACCTTAATCTTGACTTCTAGCCTTTAGAATGGTGAGGAAATTAATTTCTGTTGTTGAAAATACCCAGTCTGTGATGTATTGTTATGGTAGCCCCAGCACACTGAGAAGTTGATATAGCTGCCTGAAATGAGGGGCCTTGGTGAAGTAAATGATGGCAAATGCATAAAGCACAGCAGCATTAACAACTGAAAAGGACAAGGAAGGTTCACTTACATAGACATCAGAAGATACTACTTTTTGCAATCAAGTAAGACTTGCAAGGGCCAAAAGATTTGTATAACACAAATTCATTTGTGTCTGGGAGTGAAGGAGGGATATAGAGATAATGGCTTCATGCTTTGTACATTTTGGTGGATTACAACATAATAAACATTTGTATTGTTTTCAAAGTAGAGAGTCATGATAAGCACAAGTGGGTGTATATTCAACATCAGTATTAACAATGAAGAAGGAAGACTCCCTCTTCAAACTATCATATTAACTGCTCAATATTCTTTAATGTAGTATAAATTCTGTGAAAAAGTCCCATCCTTCTCAGACTACCCCCAAACCATTCCCTTGGGGAAAATCCTCTAATATATCCCACCTACCTGGGTGGGTAAAAGGCCAAGGGCCATCAATGAAGCCAATATAAGCCGAGAGGCCTATAGAGAGGACTCCGTGGGTGAAGGTAACCAGCCGGCAGCTCCACTCATAGCTTCGGTGCTTATTCAGGCGGCAGAAAGAACTGTAGAGCGAGAGCCAGCCCCCCAGGCTGCACAGCACCTGCAGACACAGAGCTAATGCCATCCTATGACGAAAAGACCGAAACCAGAAAAACAAAGGATGCACCCTAAGAAAATAACATCGGGACATTACATGTGTATTTCTATTATAGCATACCACAAACATGTTGCCCTCGCTTCTTATCTGCACAGCCAAAAATCTTCTACCTAAGTGTGGCTGCAAGCTGACTTCCTGGCCCTTAGAGATAACACGTCAGCTGGTGAACTGAAAACCAGGAAGTACATTCCGAGTTAGCAGACGTCTAACAAATATGTTGTTCCAAAGGGTAAATGTCAGTGACAACCTCACAGCCACAGCTGACCTTGATGAATGTACATGAGTAACGTAATACATGTACTAGACAATGTGCTCACATTTCATAAATCTCAAGAAGTTCTGCTGAAAAACCCCCACCACATCGGGCTCTGCTTGAAGTCAAGTGATAGAAATTTAATGTGGTTTTAAGCTGACACTAAACCAAAGCTTGGATTTGGATAACAGGTTTATCAGTCAAAATCGGAAGTTAAGGTTATCCTAAGTAAAGAACTAAAACAGATAGTTTGGAAGGGAAAAATAGAATGAAATAAAAAGTTTAGTTCAATTCAGATTTGAAGCAAATTCAAAGACTGACCAAGGGGAAGCAGAATGGTTTTGAGGTACAAAAGAGTTCATGTTAAGTTAAAAAAAAAATATATATATATATATATATTATATATATATATATATTAAAGGCAGTTATTTAAATTATCAGTGCAAAAAAGTCAGAAAGCTACTTAAAAATTTTTACTGGTGACAAACTTAGCAGGCTAAGGAAGACTATAACACTCAACTGAGTCATACAGGACTAAAATCTAAAAGTAAGTAAGATATTATTAATATTCATTAGTTCCTCTATTGAAAGAACAAGTAAAAAAGTCAAAAACATTTCAGATAAGTCAAAAACATTTTGGATTATCTGTCTCATCTCAGCAGGAATTTTCTGCATGGCTACACTCCTTGCTTAACCCTCTCTGACAAGTGAAATAGAATCTGTAGAACAACACCCTTCACTCCACAAGCCACTCCCAGGAATGCTTGCTATCCAAAGAGGGTTTTATGAAGGTCAAGTTCTGCAAAACTTTCATCTAAAATCAGATTTCCATTCAAGAAAACAGTAGGTGTGAGTCACAGACCCGTGCTCCACTTCTGTGTTGGCTCTAAAGAGGAGCGCAGAGTAAGTGTGGGTACATTAACCTCTCCAGCCGCCCCATTTGAAAAAAAAAAGGGGGGGGGGAGTGGGGGGAGGAAAGAAGAAAGGAAGGAGAGGGGAGAAGAAAAGAGCATTGAAACACTCTATAATCGGGTCCCAGTTCTGACAAGAAGTTCTGAGATAAATTTTGCAAAACATCTAGGTCAATTTTCAGAGCAAGGACCAGAAACTCAAAGTACCCAGAATGAAAAGAACCGTCCTCCCTTTCCTTGTAAAGGCCAGGGTCACCGGGCAGTAATGCGGATCAGCTCATTTGGATACACCGATTAGTATTTTTAGAGTCCTCTTTCCTGAATCCTAATTCCCTGGCAGAACACGGGAAACAGTAGCCCTTTTACAAACACTTAAATAACAGACATTTGTAAATGGCAGCTACAACTCTATGACCTTGGGGAAGTCACTCCATTTCTGGGTTTCAGCTTTTTACGCTCGGGTAAAGCAATGGCAGGGATTTAAATGGCAGTTCCAGCTCAGAATTCCAAGACTCCGGGGCCGGTCCTTGTTCCTCCCGCTTCAGGGCCAGATTCCGGAGGAGGAGCGCGGGGCGGGCCCACCTGGCTCGCGGTCCCCGAGCAGGCGTGGCCGGGCAAGCATCACCCTCGCTCTCAGGCACCGGGAGCGCATCGCCCTCGGCAGTGCCTACCAATTGCGGGCCACGCCCGGTGCAAGCCAACCCAGCCGGACCTTTGTGCAGGAATCGGAATCGGCACCCGAACCCCGCGAGAAAAGGCCTCCAGCGCCCGGAGGCACGAGGAGGTCCCCGCGGCTTAGATGTCAGGCCAAGCCATCTGCCCGCTCCTTCCGGAGCCGGGCAGGCCACCCGCATCCGGAGCTCGATTCGCCCGCGGGAGCAGGGCGATTCGCGCCACGCCGTTACCTGGCCGAGAGCCCCGGGAAGCCTTGGGCGCCCTGCCCCAGAGCTCAGGGCTCGGATCCCAAGAGCAGGAAGCAGCGGAACGAGAGAGATGAGCCTCTGACGGCTGCGGAGGAGGCGCCAGGGGTCTGGGGGCACCTGGTGGCTGGGAGGACGGAGCGCAGAGCCAGAGCTGGACAAGGGATGCTCGGGAAAGCTGGCTGGAGGGTCCTTCTTGCAGAAGTGGGGCAGAGGGAGTGCGGGGGGGGGGGTTGGCGGGGGGGGGAGTGGAGAAGGTGGGGAGGTAATCTAGCAGTGATGTGAGGCCTGCAGGCAGTTGTTCTTGTCTGTTTGCCTGAGTAATTATCCATCCCTCCTCGCCCTCCTCCCTAAACTAGTTGTTGAGCACCTACTAAGTGTTTGCTCCCCACCTAGGCAGTGTGGGAGATGTTAAGACATAATACCGTAGTTTGTGCTTGAGCCTATAAATTGTACGACAAATAGACAAGTAATTAATTACCAGGGGCTGCTCAAACCTGGAGACTAGAAGTTATTCCTTCTCATGTCAACCTTGATGCCTTCACAGTAGGGTATAGGGCTTAAGAAGAAAACTGGCTTGATTACTGGGTGTCTTTTGACAAGTTACTTAACGTTCCTGGTCTTTCTCAACAACAACAAAGTAAGGCACTCTCATAAGGTAATTGCGAGAGGTCTGCACACCTGGCCACATGTAAAGTTCCTAGAACTAGTGGTAAAGTAAGTTTGAAGAAATGACCGAACATAAGTATGGAGGCTCAAATAGGATAAAAGGGCACCTGGCTTGGTTGATCAGGACAGGCTATGATAGGAAACTAAGGGACTCAGCTCTTAAAAAAAGAGAAAACCTTAAACAGGTGTGAGCCTTAGGCCAAGTCTAAAGAATAGAATTATGAATAGTCCAACTTTGGTCATTTACCTTGCCAACTGCTCAAGAAAAAGGATGTTTTTCATTTTTGTTTCCTCTTACCTTGCATGTCCGGGTACCATAAATGTATGCTGGTTGAATGAATGGGAAGTGAGCTTGGAAAAGGAAACTGAAAGCATATTGTGGCTCCTAAACCTTGTAGATGTATACCACTTGAGAAATGTCTTCATAATATTCTTGTAGAGGCTGGACCTTGATGATTATGATTTAGTAGGTGTAGTGTGGAGCCCAGGGATCTGTATCTCTTAAAACCTGCCCAGGCGTTCATTCAGATGACCATTCATGTTTGAGAAGCACTGCAGTTAAAGGAACTTAACTGCACCTAAGATGCCTGATAGATTCACCCTATTATGTGGATAACAAGAAACCTACCAAGATTGATTTGGCAAGGGAATAACTGTATCATGTTCACCAAGCCCTTGCTTCTCAAAGTATGATCTATGAAATTTCAGCATCACCTGAAAGTTTATTAGAAATACAATCTTGACCCCTAGCCCTAGATCTGAGTCAGAAATTGCATTGTCACAATCATCTTGGGGGCCCTTCTCCGTGGGTGGCATACCCGGTTAGGATGCAGTATTGCAAGCTGGCTGCAGCCGCTTCAGTGTGAGTTCCATCCCCTGCCCCGGAGGCGACCCACACAGCACAGCAGACCCGCCCACTGCTCCCCTCAGCAGTGTACTTCATCGATCTATCTGTTCTGCTCCCCACTCTGTTTCTGGTGAAGCCTCTCACCACCCCTGCACCTCTGACTTGTAGCCCAGTTTTGTACGAATAAATAACCTTTTTTTTTAAAATCATTTTTGTAGCTCTTGTCTCCAAACTATCCACCTAGGGCTATGCAGGTGTTTCTTTTAACACACCTGTCTTTTTCAAGGGCAATTCTTTCTGCTTGTTTGTGTCTGTACAAGCATACTTTCCTTCCTTTTCCCTTTTCTTGTGTAGTAAACTTGTCCATTTTGAATATTAGATAAATAAATATAAAATCATCTTAACAGTGATTTGCATGCATATTTGGGCAGTGGTTCTCAACCACAATAGTACAATACAACTACTTTTAAAAGTCCCAATGCCCAACCACATCCCAGACAAAGTAAATCAGAATCTATGTGGGAGCTTTCTCAAAGCTCCCTAGATTATTCTGTTGTGCACCCAAAGTTAACAATCCCTGCTACACACTCAACTGAGATCAGTATGAGGGAGCTGGAGAAGACAACTTGTTATAAATGGGTATTGGTACAGTCCAGATAAGAGAAAGTAATAGCCTAAAGAAAGAAAACATCATATAGCCCATTTCACAGAAAGGATAATATGCAAATCTCAACTTTGCCCTTCTGGTATCTCCCTCAAGTGTTCATGTTGCCATCATTTCCTAGCAAAGAGCAGAGTATTAAAGACCTCAGGGCTGTAAGGGCTGAGGGATAAGGGGAGGTATCTGTTCTTTCATTGGAGCTTTACCAGGCCTTTAACCTAGGGTGACTGGGATTCTAGGTTTCATTACCTGGGATTAACTTTTGTTAATTTACATATCTTTGACCACCAATTCTTGTTCTAGCAAATCCTTGTCAACAAGTGTCATTCCCGAAAAGTCCTAGGCTGTTAATGAGAACAGGGGATAGTTTGCAATCCACCAACGCATTCAATTACCATGACATCAAAAATCATAACAATTAAAAAATAACAGATAGGGCCCTCCCTGGTGGCGCAGCGGGTTAAAGCACAGCACTAAGAAGCTAAAGCCACTTCAGCATGAGTTCGATCCTTGCCTGCCCCGGAGG